CATTTCAACATTTCTCCGTAAAATGATGATGGCATCTCTCATTTACCTGTTCACATCTGCTTAATTGAGTAGAATCAACAGACACATTTATGTCTTCTTTACTCGTAACCATTTATGATAAAGACTTTTGTTCTGGGATGTAACGTTTGTAAGAGTCATCCCGCCATAAATACCTACAACACATAAACAATTTATATTTAGTTTATAATACTGATCAAATTCACGTCTTAATCACTAAATTCCTCTCGAAGGATGATCATTCTTTTTACATCTAAAGATTTAATCCTTCCTATAATAATAATAATAATAATAATAATAATAATAATAATAATAATAATAATAATAATAATAATAATAATAATAATAATAATAATAATAATAATAATAATAATAATAATAATAATAATAATAATAATAATAATAATAATAATAATAATAATAATAATAATAATAATAATAATAATAATAATAATAATAATAATAATAATAATAATAATCTCCTTTTAGCAACAGATATCGCCACAATTCACTGTACAGAAGTAAGATCAAAATTTAGTCCAAAACTGTTAAAGTAATATCCCGCAGGCGGTGCTTGGCGGGGCAGTGTCGTATACTGTACGAGAGGACCGCGAGCACCTCCAGAAATGACCCTCTTCCCCCTTTTTCCTCCCTCTCTTCCCCTTTTCCTCCCTTCCTCCCCTTTCCCCCTCCCCTTCTCTTGTTAAAACTACCATTTTATTTTTCGGTTGAAAATAAAGAATCATTGGTATAATTTATATTCTTTAATTCTTATGTTTCTTCCAAAAAATTGGCATTGGAAATTAATCCCTTTGAGCTTTGTTCTTCGTCTTGATGAGTCTCAAGATATAGTGTACACACACTCATACAAGTATCTTAAACATTTCGTGTGAGACAAACACAGCGGATGAATCACCTTGACAACCCTACCGAGACAACAGGAGTCACGGTGTTCATTTGGAAATTCATCGGACTGCTCCGTAAAGATACTTTTTGGAGTGTGTGTATCTCGGGAAGTCCATGAAGAGCTCCTGACCCAAATCATGACCTTCCTCGTGTCTTCCTTGTTCCTTGTCCTACCGCTGTCTGATTCAAATTAAATTGAGGATTCAGAGCCTTTGAAGCTCCTTTTGACAATTTTCACCTAAACTGTGGAGTTAGGAAGCATGACTGTGAGGAACTTATTATCCTAAAACCTTCTGGTAAAATAATAATAATAATAATTAGTGACACGTGAGTTCCTTAGTGCTGTAACAGTGTGTCTGAACAAACATAAATATTTTGTCTCCATAATCTTATAACATACTCGTACCTATGACAGCTTCAGGTCACTGTATTAATTGTTATACAGTAATACCGACTGACCATATTAGTCACTAACTGATGATAGATTCCAACAAAGTGGATCACATCAGCGTGTTGTTGTGATCAAAGTAGTAGCGGTTTATCTCAAGTGATGGAGGGTGGCCGGCCGGGAGTCCATCTCGTCCAGCTGTTTGTGTATGGTATGGAGTTGCCGCCAACACAACGAGGTGAGAGACGGAGGGAAACAACAAAAACCTCACTATTCACACTCGCCAGCCTTTAGCCCTAAGTATGATACTCGATTGATATTCCTCACTAAGCTTTATCTAAAGTGGTAAATATAATAATAAACTCAATGGCCCATACTGGCTGTTAACACACCTAGTTCTGTGATCTATTTAAACAAAGGTTTACTTCTCTCCATACCTAACAAACAACCAGCTTTATCAAAATACTTTAATTCAATATGTTTTCCTTTAACAAAACATCCTTAAAACGCGAAAATAACCGATATATTACGACTATATTTGGCATAATCGACGGTGCCATATTGACCCACATACGCCCAGATATTGCAAGGCAACATTAATGACGTGAATATAACACACAGTCATATCTACAAGAGCCTCAATATATATTCTGACCCAGGAACGTCAAACAGAGGTGATCAAGACCATAGAACAGATATTGGAGATGATTAGAATTGATTAAGGAAGGCAGATTGGTGCTGAGGTGAATGTTGTACAGTACATATCCGTGGATCCGTTTTCTTTTTGGGAGTAAATATTACGCGTTGAGAAAATGGGTAAACCTACAGTGATTTACTTGCATTATGATAGTGTATAATGTATCATAGTATCTTTGTATTTGTTGTTCTACAGTATATACAGATGTTCTTCAGACTACAATTATTCACTTTTATTTGGAGACGTCTTCAATGATAAGCTTAGCAACAGGAAAACAATTAGACCATTTAGTTAGGTAATAAAATTGGTCCTGCATCCAAATATAATTGTTTTATTTTATGTTCATGAATATCAATCATATTTGCGCTGTTTCTTACGATTTTCTTAACTCCTAGAATGGGGAAGCTCTTGTGAATTATATAAGTTTTTATGTAAATTCAACCACAAATAAACAGCCAGAAATGTGTCAGTGTACTAAGTGATGCAGTCAATGTATAATTTGTATCAGAAAGATAAACATTCAAAATATTTATTCACTGACAATTGACGTCCTATATTATCGGAAATATAACGCGGATTTCTTATGTATTGATTTATCTAATTCTGAAATGTTACTCAACACTTAAGTGAATGGAAAGATTTCAAAAGTGATATGAATAAGCCTCAAACATTTTCACTAATAATTACTGTACTCGCTGTCATGACAAACGGATGAACTTAACTGTCTAATTTACATGTCATTATTATTTTCCATGGCACTACAAACAATATTTTTGGTGTTTGATAAAGAACTGTACTTAGAGGAAGATGGCTGTAACATAGTGTTGGTATACTGTGTATGTCTCTGTATACCAGAGGTCCTCTAATACTGTTGGTGGCGGCCATAACCGAGCACGTCGATGGCCACACAACCAAACATATTTAAACAAATAAAAACAAGAATATTTTTGTATAAAGGTATACTCATCCCGCTAACTTTCTTCTGTCAAGCAGTTAGGGTCGTTAAGCTTGAGTATTACAGTGATAGTTAAATATAAAGTTGATAGCGAACAGTCAACACGTCACCTCACTATCTGGCCAAATTATTGATCACTTAAAGTTAACAGAGAAACAGTAGAGGACAATACTCCAAATATTCCTTCCTAAAACAGTTGTGGATGATGAGCTCCATCATAATTTTTATGAGCTGCATCATTATGAGCTGCATTATTATGAGCTGCATCATATAGACTGCATCATTATGAGCTGGCATCATTATCCAAATACTAATTATGAGCTGCATCATTATGAGCTGCTTCATTATGAGCTGCATCATTATGAGCTGCATCATATGAGCTGCATCATTATGAGCTGCATCATTATGAGCTGCATCATAGAGCTGCATCATTATGAGCTGCATCATATGAGCTGCATCATTATGAGCTGCATCATAGAGCTGCATCATTATGAGCTGCATCATATGAGCTGCATCATTATGAGCTGCATCATAGAGCTGCATCATTATGAGCTGCATCATATGAGCTGCATCAACCTTATTTTTCACATAAACACTAAAATAAACTGGACTTAGTAATGGTACACAGTGATTTACATCGTAATATTATACTGGAGATAAACCGTAAGTTATGACGAGATGTTAACACGATCTTCAAACAGAGACGCGTCCATTTGGAGGGTTGTGGGGACCCACCTTCATATACTGTACATTTTACACCATTAAAAAATGAGATCAGTGGACAACTATCTGAAGCGTTGACAGCGGGGCTGCACACAGCTACACCGCCTTTTCTCCAAGTACATCAACAGATCTCTGTCTTGTTAGTATTAAGAGTTACATTTAAGCCTACCTTAACCTGATCCACCCTAACCGAATCCATACTAACCCAACCAACCCTAAACCAAACTAACCTAACCTAACCTAACTTAACATGTCCCACGCTTTTTAACTAATATTACACCTAACCTAACATAACCAAACTAACCTAACCTAACCTAACTTAACATGTCCCACGCTTACCTAATCTAACCTTTCATCCTAACCTAACCTAACTTAACTTACGTCGAACCTGATGAAGTTTTCGATGTTTTTAATCAGATTTATAGAACAGGAAGATGGGCCAAATTGTTAGCCAAGTTTACTGTATCAACAAAACATACGAAAAATCCTCTAACTACACACACAATTTATAGTGCATGATAATCTATTAGGCTTGTGTACACACTGGCGGAGCAACGATTTACTAACGGGGGCACTCGTCAGCTGGGATGGGGCACTCGTCAGCTCGGTGGAAGAACTCGTCAGCGGGGAGGGGGCACTCGTCAGCTAGGAAAGCACTCGTCACCTGGGAGGAAGCACTCGTCAGCTGGGAGGGGGCACTCGTCAGCGGGAGGGACACTCGTCAGCGGGAGAAGCACTCGTCAGTTGGGAGGAAGCACTAGTCAGCGGGGGAAAGTACTCGTCAGTGGGAAAACACTCATCAGCGAGGGGAAGCACTCGTCAGCGGGGAGAAACACTCGTCAGCGGGGGGAAATACTCGTCAGTCGGGGGAAGCACTCGTCAGCGGGGGGAAACACTCGTCAGCTAGGAAAGCACTCGTCAGCTGGGAGGAAGCACTCGTCAGCTGGGAGGAAACACTCGTCAGCGGGGGAAACACTCTCGTCGGGGGGCACTCGTCAGCGGGGAACACTCGTCAGCGGAGGAAACACTCGTCAGCTAGGAAGCGCTCGTCAGCTGGGAGGCACTCGTCAGCTGGGAGAGGAAACACTCGTCAGCGGGGGAAACACTCGACAGCGGTGGGAAACACTCGACAGCGGGAAGCACTCGTCAGCGGAGAAACACTCGACAGAGGGGAAGCGCACTCGTCAGCAGGTATGAAACACTCGTCAGCGGGGGAAACACTCGTCAGCGGTGGGAAACACTCGTCAGCGGGGGAAACACTCGACAGCGGGGGAAGCACTCGTCAGCGGGGGGAAACGCTCGTTAGTGGGGGGAAGCACTCGTCAGCGGGGGGCCACTCATCAGGTTTTCATCATTAGATCTTTATAGGTAACACTGGGTCTTTATCTCAGGTGTATTATATTGTTCCACCATGTTACCGAAAAGACAATATAGTTACATCAGTTTATACAAAATGTCCGACTTTTCACTGGTAAAGTTTTTATTTATTTTTTAATAATTATACACAAAGTGAAGGAAGATCAATCACACCGACAACAATACAGAAAACAACAACAACAACAACAAGCTACACCTAAGACTCCATATTCACGGCCCAATCCACCCTCGCGGCCCCGCTCCACCCTCACGGCCCCTCCCACCCTCGGCCCTCCACCCTCAGCCCCTCCACCCCTCACGGCCCGCTCCACCCTCACGGCCCTCCACCCTCACGGCCTCCACCCTCACGGCCCCTCCACCCTCACGGCCCGCTCCACCCTCAGCCCCTTCCACATTCACTGCCCGCCCACCCTCGGCCCGCTCACCCTCACCACCCTCCACCCTCGGCCCCTCCACCCTCCGGCCCTCCACCCTCACGCCCTCCACCCTCACGGCCCTCCCACCCTCACGGCCCGCTCCCACCCTCAGCCCCATCCCACCCTCACGGCCCCTCCACCCTCACAGCCCGCTCCTCACAGCCCCCTCCAGCCTCGACCCTCCACCCTCGACCCCTCCACCCTCAAGGCCAACTCTTCCCTCACGGCGCTCTCCACCCCTTACAGGCCCTCCACCCTCACGGTCCACTTCACCCCTCACGGCCCACTCCACATCTCACGGCCCGCTCCACCCTCACGACCCACTCCACATTCACGGCCCACCCACTTCGCGGCCCACTCCACCCTCAAGGCCAACCCCTCCCTCCAGGCGCTTTCCACCCTACGGCCCTCCACCCCTCCACGACCCACTCCATTCACGGCCCACTCCACTTCGCGGCCCGCTCCACCCTCAAGGCCAACTCCTCCCTCAAGCGCGCTCTCCACCCCACGGCCCCCTCCAGCCTCACGGTCCACTCCACCCTCACGGCCCACTCCACCCCTCACGACCCACCCATATTCCACGGCCCACTCCACTTCGCTGCCCGCCCACCCTCAAGGCCAACTCCTCCCTCAAGCCTCCACCCCTACGGCCCTCCAGCCCACGGCCCACTCCACATTCACGGCACGCTCCACCCTCACGACCCACTCCATATTCACGGCCCACTCCACCCTCCACGGCCCGCAACACCCTCCCGACCCGCTCCACATTCACGGCCCGCTCCACCCTCAGGGCCAACTCTTCCCTCACGACCTACTCCACATTCAAGGCCCACTCCACGCTCACGGCGCTCTCCACCCTTACGGCCCCCTCCACCCTCACAGTCCACTCCACCCCTCAGGGCCCACTCCAGCCTCACGACCTACTCCACATTCACGGCCACTCCACCGTCAAGGCCAACTCTTCCCTCAAGGCCAACCTTCCCTCACGGCGCTCTCCACCCTACGGCCCCTCCACCCTCACGGTCCACTCCACCCTCACGGCCCACTCCACATTCACGGCCCGCCCAACCCTCAGGGCCCATCCCAGCCTCACGACCTACTCCACATTCAGGCCCACCCACGCCCACGGCGCTCTCCACCCTTACGGCCCCTCCACCCTCACAGTCCACTCCACCCTCAGGGCCCCTCCAGCCTCACGACCTACTCCACATTCACGGCCCACTCCACCGTCAAGGCCAACTCTTCCCTCAAGGCCAACTCTTCCTCACGGCGCTCTCCACCCCACGGCCCCCTCCACCCTCACGGTCCACTCCACCCTCACGGCCCACTCCACATCTCACGGCCCGCTCCACCCTCACGACCCACTCCATATTCACGGCCCACTCCACCCTCACGGCCCGCTCCACCACGACCCACCACATTCACGGCCCGCTCCACCCTCACGACCCACCCCATATTCACGGCCCCTCCACCCTCACGGCCCACTCCACCTCACGGCCCACTCCACACCACTCACGGCCCGCTCCACCCTCACGATCCACTCCATATTCACGGCACACCCACCCTCACGGCCCGCTCCACCCCCACGACCCACTCCACATCTGCTGCCCGCTCCACCCTCAGGGCCCACTCCAGCCTCACGACCACTCCACATTCACGGCCCACTCCACCGTCAAGGCCAACTCTTCCTCAAGGCCAACTCTTCCCTCACGGCGCTCTCCACCCCACGGCCCCTCACCCCTCACGGTCCACTCCACCACGACCTACTCCACATTCACGGCCCGCTCCACCCTCACGAACCACTCCATATTTACGGCCCGCCCACCTCACGGCCCACTCCAGCCCTCAGGCCCGCTCCACCCCCGCCTCGCCCACCTCAAGGCCAACTCTTCCCTCAAGGCCAACTCTTCCCTTACGGCGCTCTCCCAACCCTTACGGCCCCCTCCACACCTCACGGTCCACTCCACCCCTCACGGCCCACTCCATATTCACGGCCCGCTCCACCCCTACGGCCCACTCCACATTCACGGCCCCTCCACCCTCACGGCCCACTCCACATTCACGGCCCACCTCACCTTACGGCCCACCTCCCACATTCACGGCCCGCTCCATATTCACGGCCCGCTCCACCCTCACGGCCCACTCCACCCTCACGGCCCACCCGGCTGCTCCGTGTGAGAGCTTCCAACCCACTTGTAGTTAAGATTCATTTGGAATATAAAACACTTTATATCCTGCGAAAATTATAAAAAAAATACTTGACATACGAATATTTTTACCTCACGAGAAGCTTATGGCTCGCGCCCTTGAACTAAAGTATTCATCTGAAAATATGGAAATGGAAATCGAATGAAAATCAAATCCGTTACTGGTTGAATGTTAACTCTTTACATTTACATTTATATTATATAATTAAGGATTCATTATCAGAGCACGTCTTGATGTTGTATATTTTGGGTAATACTTGTTGACACGTTGATGTATATATCGTGACATTGATCCTCCCTATCTGCTGGGTTATGCCACTCAGGCCAACAAGCAACAGTGAGTCAGAACTAAAGTGATGGTGTAATGGTGAACGTTATGGTGTTGCCAGGTTTACCTCCACAATATATGATAACATAACTGATAAGGAAGAAGAAACATTTTGTCTTTTTTTCTGGGGGTAGTTAAAGTTCCCAAGAGCAATGACGTAAGACCAATGAGGTGTGACAGAGAGACAGGTGTTATCATTTATGAGAACAGAACTGACGGGAAATGTACACATGTAACAATATGCCTTAATGAGTCATAAAAATTGAAACAGTTCTTCTGCTTCATATTCAGTAAAGTTAAGTTGACTTTGTGCTGCTGTCATAAGCATTTTACTCACACGCCCTTTGTACCGGCGGCTGATATTTTAATTAACAATTCAGCGTTTAAAGTGTTGTCTGGTTACCGCAGCTCAGATTACAGGCATGTTATCCTCAAGCCACAGGGAAGGAATTTTTATGTGGCACCCCATATATAAATAGAAATAAATATATATATATATATACATATATATATATATATATATATATATATATATATATATATATATATATATATATATATATATATATATATATATATATATATATGCAAGTAAATCACTGTACGTAGGTGCGCGTGAGGTATATGCTGATAACCAAGGAAAGAAGAAAACACGAGTTCCCAAGCGCTTTCATGTAATTATCTTCAGGATGAGTACAGTCTGTACTCACCCTGAAGATGGAATCACAAGCTTGGAACCTTTCTTTCTTGAATATATATATATATATATATATATATATATATATATATATATATATATATATATATATATATATATATATATATATATATATATATATATATATATATATATATACCACACTCACTGACACCTGTACCTCACATATATATATATATATATATATATATATATATATATATATATATATATATATATATATATATATTTATTTATTTATTTATTTCTATTTATATATGGGGTGCCACATAAAATTCCTTTCCTGTGGCTTGGAGGATAACATGCCTGTAATCTGAGCTGCGGTAACCAGAGACAACACTTTAAACGCTGAATTGTTAATTAAAATATCAGCCGCCGGTACAAAGGGCGTGTGAGTAAAATTATTATGACAGCAGCACAAAGTCAACTTAACTTTACTGAATATGAAGCAGAAGAACTGTTTCAATTTATGACTATTAAGGCATATGTTACATGTGTACATTTCGTCAGTTCTGTTCTCATAAATGATAACACCTGTCTCTCTGTCACACCTCATTGGTCTTTACGTCATTGTTTTGGGAACTTAACTACCCCCAGAAAAAAAAGACAAAATGTTTTTCTTCTTCCTTATCAGTTATGTTATCATATATTGTGGAGGAGTAAACCTGGCAACACCATAACGTTCACCATTACACCATCACCTTAGTTCTGACTCACTGTTGCTTGTTGGCCTGAGTGGCATAACCCAGCAGATAGGGGAGGATCAATGTCACGATATATACATCAACGTGTCACAAGATACCCAAAATATACAACATCAAGACGTGCTTTGTTAATGAATCCTTAATTATATAATATAAATGTAAATGTAAAAGAGTTAACATTCAACCAGTAACGGACGGATTTTTCATTCGATTTCCATTTCCATATTTTCAGATGAATACTTTTTAGTTCAAGGGCGGAGCCATAGCTTCTCGTGAGGTAAAAATATCGTATGTCAAGGATTTATAATTGCAGGATATAAAAGTTTATATTCAAATGAATCTTAACCAAGTGGAGTAAGCTTCCACACGGAGCAGCCGGAGGGGCCGAGGGTGGGGTGGGCCGAGGGTGGAGGGTCTGAATATGGGAGCGGGCCGGAATGTGGAGGGCTGTAAGGTGGAGGGCCAGAATGTGGAGGGCTGTGAGGGTGGAGCGGGCCGTGAATGTGGAGGGGCTGTAAGGGTGGAGCGGGCCGTGAATATGGAGGGCTGTGAGGGTGGGAGGACCGTGAGGGTGGAGGGGGCGAAAGGGTGGAGAGCGCTGTAAGGGAAGAGTTGGCCTTGAGGGAAGAGTTGGCCTTGAGGGTGAGCGGGCCTTTGGGGTGGAGGGCCAAGAGGCTGGAGGGGCCGTGAGGGTGGGAGCGGGCTGCGAGGCTGGAGGGCGGAGGGTGGAGCGGGCCGTAAATGGAGTGGGTCGAGGGGTGGAGCGGGCCGTGAATGGGAGTAGGGTCGTGAGGGTGGAGGGGCCGTAAGGGTGGAGGGGGCCAGGGGTGAGAGCGCCGTGAGGAAGAGTTGGCCTGAGGGAAGAGTTGGCCCTGGACGGTGGAGTGGCCGTGAATGTGGGAGTAGGTCGTGAGGCTGGAGTGGGCCCTGAGGGTGGAGGACTGTGAGGGGTGGAGGGGGGCCGTAAGGGTGGAGAGCGCCGTGAGCTCCTTATCCCGAGCTCCGTGGAAATGCAGTTACCTCCAGACGCACCAGATCACCTCCTTCGCGCCAGCGCTACGGAGGTCTTGAGGGTACATGAACCTCCACCCAGCACTACGAAGCACGCCATCTATTGTCCTGATCTACCTACCCACCACCACGAGCAACGCCATCTAGGACGCAGACACGTGTATTAGACCTGGCGTCTTAGTTACCACTCCGAGGTTTTCTCCTATCCTGGGTTGTGTCACCCCTCAGTCTTTTTGTCAGCTCCAATTGGAGTGAGAGAGGACTTGGTTCTGGGAAGTGACCACAGGATCATTTATCTCCCAAACCTACGCAGTGACTACTTACTGTCTTACAACATGGGCCTTACTCGTCAGCCATCTCAGCTCCTCACTTAAGTACTTGTATGTTGTATTAATCCCCATGTCCACTTGCTTCAAGATTGTTTTATGTTTGTTAATATGTATATACTGTTAATGTTTAGGGGTTAAGTTTGGTTATGTAATTTATAAGCTGAATTTTTTGTTAAGGGATTTATGGTAATTTCTATTATATACAACGAAAACTCGCATCCTTTGTCTACCTTTTATAGTCCGATTGTCTTTGTTTTTTTTATTGTTGTTACCGTTGGAAGATGTATAACTTTATTCTAAATCTAACTGTAATAATATATATATATATATATATATATATATATATATATATATATATATATATATATATATATATATATATATATATATATATATATATTTATTTTCTTATTTATATATGGGTGCCACATAAAATTCCTTTCCTGTGGCTTGGAGGATAACATGCCTGTAATCTGAGCTGCGGTAACCAGACAACACTTTAAATGCTGGATTGTTAATTAAAATATCAGCTGCCGGTACAAAGGACGTGTGAGTAAAATGCTTATGACAGCAGCACAAAGTCAACTTAAGTTTACTGAATATGAAGCAGAAGAACTGTTTCAATTTATGACCCATTAAGGCATATTTACATGTGTACATTTCCCGTCAGTTCTGTTCTCATAAATGATAACACCTGTCTCTCTGTCACACCTCATTGGTCTTACGTCATTGTTTTGGGAATTTAACTACCCCAAGAAAAAAAAAGACAAATGTTTCTTCTTCCTTGTCAGTTATGTATATATATTGTGGAGAGTAAACCTGGCAACACCATAACGTTCACCATTACACCATCACTTAGTTCTGACTCACTGTTGCTTGTTGGCCTGAGGCATAACCCAGCAGACAGGGAGGATCAACGTCACGATATATA